CGGCTAAAGGAAGGAAAGCACACGATAGCATCAGCAATGGTACTCACTTGCTGTGTTGTCGGTTGTAATGTTAGATCGCACGATCGGTAAGGGAAGAAGCTGGAAAATGAGCTCTCTTTTTATTCTCTCCCCACCTTGAAGCAACGTGAGGGAGCGTATGTATCGGATGTTACCAAAAGAAGGCATCTAGCCTGGATAGCAGCTGTGAGACGAGCTGATATCCAGTTCTCTACCATCTCCAGATATCTGTTGGTGTGCTCCAGACATTTTCATCCAGGTAAGTTCTAAATAAGTTCATATTACTCTTTATAGCCTGTTAGTTTTATTTGCAATGCGCTCTGAGGTCATAGCAAATTAGAACAAACATGCTAATGAGTGATTTTGTAGATATACGTTCTGTTTATGGAGTTGCTAATTGTTTTTCATTATTGCAGGCAAACCAGCCTGTGAAATGGATGAAACACATCGTGACTGGGCTCCAACTGCGTTTTGGTGAACATGTTCCCCAGTGTGGTAGTAAAACCAGGGAAAAATGCTCTCGTTAAATACTCTTAAAGGTCTTGTGCTGTATATGTAGTGATCCGTTTTCAAAAGAGACAGTAAATGACAGAATGCTAGTAGCAGATGATATTATTTAAATGCTGTCATGATTTTATGTGAACATTTTGTCATTTGTAAACTATAAACAACATGGATTCTACATTGTAACTGATGTGATGTTCTACAAAGTGCTTTTGATAATAAAAAAAAGGCAAACATTAGTTTCTTTATTCAACTTTTTGAACAGTGGTACTTAGTAAGTACATATTCAGTAAATGCAAATTATTTACATGCCCCCCTAAATACAACATTTTATTCAGAACAGAATTCTGCTTGGAGAAATATTTTCCCATCAGTTGATCCAACTCCTCCACAGTAGCAGGTGGAATTTTTCTGTTTTGAGGACGGCTTCTTGTACCTGTCACTACGGATGGTCTGTTTATGTTTTGATTGAGAGCCTTTTTTTGGGCAGCTGAAGAGAAGAAGTCTATCTTATGGCCAACCTCTGGCTGTATCTTGGTCATATCACCCAGCAAAACCCAGTATGCAGGTTCATCTGTAACAGTCCTTGTGCCACGGATCAACACTGTTGCTTCTACTTTAAACAGAAGAGCAGCGACACGACTGCAGGTCTCCACGACTCCGGCCATACAGGTGCAGTTCAACCTTCCCTGTGATGCTCACTATGACCCATGCCCGCAATGCTGGTTCATTCAGTCTTTGAGAGTGCAGTACCTGAAACACACAAAGTTAATTTAAGACAACAACTTTAATGAGCCACGACCGACACAAATGTATTTGATCTACTTTCAAATCCATTTATCATAAATGTAACAAATAAAGTGTTTAGAAAGTTGCCACATACATGTAATTTTTTAAATCTTTTATGTATCCATCTATAGAACGCTGCATGTTATATTCTAAATCTGCCTGTTTTGTTTTTGTCTTGTTTTTTTAAACCTGCCAGCAAAAAACGAATCTAAAGTATGTAATGCAAGGATGTAATCACTTTCAAGAGGGAGCATAAAGTTTGACTTTAAGTGACAATTATGAATCACAGATTCTGCAGGTCATTAATCAATGTAAAAAACTAAAACACAATGTATTTTTAGTGACACAGCACACAAATATGGAAGCAAGATGTGTAATTAGGATTTATTTAAAATAAATACGAATTAATTAGTGCAATATCTTTAACCATAGAGAGAATGACAAAATCCTTCAGGACATTGTCACATCAATGCACTGAACTCACTATGTTATCCATCTAACAGAGCCTCAACATGTTCTCACTGTAATTTCCCCTCATGAATGAATTTATGCTGCACTAATCTGAATGTTTGGAGGGAAATCAAACGCATTTTACTCGCTGTACTCAAGCTGACTTACCTTTGTTTGAATGACGGCGTACTCCCAACGTGGTCTAAAAATAGCCAAATCTTGTACCCAACCATTGGTGAATTGCATGTGCGCCTACAGAGATTTATAAACTGGTGCGCCGTGTACGCGCTGACTCCACAGACAAGGTAGGAGAATATATCAGGCTCAGTCAATACCGGTTGTTCTTCAGGGTTTCTACTCCACTGCCGTGTTTCATACGGGTCCACATTTCCAAAGCAGGCTATTTTTTGCAAGTACTGTCTCTTTGCATCCGGACGCAATCTGGCTCTATAAAATCCTTTTTCTTTTCAGCTGCTTTTAAGTATGGTTCGTAGCGGTCTTCTTTCCAACACAGTGTGTTTGTTTTGATTCGTGGCCTGCTAAAATGGTGCCGCGCTCCCACAATGCATTGCGGTGTGACAACTCCAAAGCCCTATGGCATCCATTGAGCGTAACGCTTCCCAGTCATTCATAATCCGAGCTCCGCGTTCGTGACATAATTGAAGGAATCCCTGCTCACACCGCTGACTCACACACTCACCGGTGATATCCAGACAGCTTGTGATATTTTCTCAAACTGCTGCGCTGAAAAAGTTTCCAAAGAGCATGCTGTGTGAGACGATAAACATCATTTAACCTTTTAACCTGTGGCTTCCACATATTTGTGAAACAGAAAATGATGACATCGCTCAAATAATCAGAACATGGAACAGTTGTCCAACAGTCAAGTTTCTTTTCTGCACTAGTGTACACATGGATGAGTGTGTGCATACTCATACCTGTACACACAGACACATTTCCTGCACTGTGCACAGGTCATGCTAGTCTTACAATCGTCATAGCACCACCACCCTCACCCTCCAAGCCTGGTTTCTTCCTGTTAAAGGGAGTTTTTCCTTGTGCTTGCTCAAAGAGCGCCATATGATTATTGTTGGGTTGGGGTTTTTTTTAATTATTACTATAGGATCTTTGCCTTACAGCATAAAGCAGCTTGAGGTGATTGTTACTGTGACTTGCTGCTATAATATACATTGTTTGTTTACATTGTACAGTGTGCCAACTTTTTGTAATCAAAGGAGCTTGCAAAGAAAAGCGTCTGGACTTCTTTAAGTTGCTTGAAGACGTTTCACCTCTCATCTGAGAAGCTTCTTCAGTTCTAAGGTCAAATGGTGCAGAGTCCCAGATATAAACCTAGTGGGAGTATCCCCTCACAGAGGGACATAGTTATTGCACTTATTGAGCTATAATACACAAACAACTAAAGCTTTAAAATAAGTGTCAGTGAGCTGAAAAAACAACATTGATACCCAAAATGTAGCAAAGCAGAATCTAGTATAACATGGAAACACAGACTTTATGTATTTTAGTACTTGAGTAAATGTTCCCACTACTATCTACACTCACTTCCGAAGATATTTAGACTAGTGAGAGAACTGAGCTCCTCCGCTTCATGTGAGATTCACTTTCTGCTGTTTTTTTTGTTTGTTTTTTTAATTCAATTTTATTTGTATAGCGCCAAATCACAACAGCAGTTGCCTCAAGGCACCTGCTTCCTTGCATTAATGTCTTGAAATACCAGGAAACTAACCATCTGCATCTGGAGACTTGATTCAAAAGGCAGTAAAAACCAAAACAAATGTTAAAAAATAAATAAAAAATTGAATAAAGGAAAAATTACAATTTCACAAATGTCAAACATTTTTTAATTAAAATTCCTCTTTTTTTCCCTATTAAAAAGTTGTAAAAATGAGTCCAAGGCCTTGATGCCGTAGCATATAGCTTTGTTATTTTTTCTGTCATACAGTCTGTGTATTTATTTACTTATATTTTCTGAACGGCGCACAAACTTTTTCTTTAAATTAATATAAAAACAACAACAAAGTCAGACATTCAGCAGCAAATCTAACCTTGTTACATGAGAAGAAAAATCATAAACAGAAAATAAAAGTCTGTATTCTTGTTACTACAGCCGTAAAACGTGAGGCCAAACTGTCACCAGGAGTGTACTGAAACATAAAATATTTTTATTTCATGATTAAAAACATTTCCAGTACATCTGCGCTGCAGGATCTCATCACACTGGGAAGCGTTGTTTGTTTTTTGGAAGCAGCCATCATTCTTCCGTTTCACCTGAAACAATGTCCCGGTTAAAAAATAAAGCTTTAACACCAATTTCCCTTTACAGTAAGTAGTGTTGGTCAGAGCTGGTGTGTTATTTTGCTGCGATACACGTCTCTCTTATTTTTGTTTCTCTTTCCTCAAACAGAAATTTTTACCTCATTAAGAAAAACCCAGCACACTTTTAAAAAGCTCTCAGGACACAGGGCCTTCCAGCAGGAAGAGAGAACGACAGACAGAGATACTTTTCCTGAATCTTAGCACCTTATTTAAGTTGGAAGTAACCTTGTTTGTTTCTTTTCCCCTCAGGCGGCTTGTAAAAGGTGACAAACAGCATTTAGCAGACAGCAGATCACCGGGTCACTGAATGGCTTCAGACCTTTCAACCTCTTCACGACTCCAAAGTAGCTTTAAGACCATTTGTGCTTTTGCCTGCGTGTTGCTCCCCACCCAACCCCCTTTCTCTTTAAAAAAAAAAAAAAAAACCCAACAAAAAACAAAAACCAGCCCCACTTTACTCAAGAACAGACGACTCAAAACTCTCAACAATTCGTTCACATTGATCGCTCCTCACCGTGACGAGTAAAGGGAATAGCAAACACACTTAAAGATTCATTTTTCTGAAATGAATAAACTGAATACGTCTGTGATGATTTTCTTTTCTCCCCATCTTTTCAAAACAATTAAAAACACCATAAGCCTGTATAAAACGTTACTTTTTATCAAGTCTGTGTTTTAAATTCACAATCAATGATCGAGAGCAGGAAATGTCTGGAGCAGCAGAGCCGAGCCTCTGTGGTTTCTTCGCCGTCCACGCGATCGTGGTATTCGCAGATGACTCAAGAGTTTGTTTTATTCAGCTAGAGAAGCTTCTTGTGGGAGGTACAACACAGGGACTTCTTTTTTTTTTTTCCTTTCTTTCTTTTTGTGTTTCCACAAGATGACATGAGCATGATAAAACAAACCATTATGTGCCAATACCTGAGTCTATTATTCAGTCTTTTCTCTGTCCGTTTGCATTTCATGTGGTATTCTCATCCTTTCCCGTCTCCGAGCATCACTCCTCCCCTCAGGTGTGTCCCGGTCCTATGTTACCGTGGTGGAGTTCTGCCCTCGGATAGCGCACCAGGCCATGAAAACGTCTCTGTGGAGAAGAGAGGATGATGAAAACATTAGGTTCAAGCAGGTCTGAATAAGATGCACTTGTAATCCAATTTTAGGGGTTTGAACACAGAGATCCATACTGTTCACATTCCAATAATTTGTTCGGAAGCTTGAATTTTTATGCACGAGTTGAGCGGACGATCAAGATTTTATTTTCATGTTTTTTTTAAACCAACTTTGACATTTGGTGATCCGATACAGTCTAAGTGTTTCTCTCGTCTCTTATTTAGCTTTGTTGAATTTTCATGTAACCAGCCTGTGGTGGGGCGTGGTCTGCAGCACGGCTGCGAGGGAGGTGGATGCATCTGAGAGGCACCTACAATCGCACCTCGCCGACTTAAAAGACAATGAGCTAGAGTCCTGTGAATCCTGTGGTTGTTGTTGTGTATGTGTAGGTGCAGCTAAAAAGCTGTGACTGAGTGCTGTAGGAGAAAACAAATAAAAGAGTGCTGAAAAGCGTTGAAACGCGGTCGGGTCTGTGGTGGGTTTGTTACACAGCCATTATAAATGTCAAATACATTATACTGATATATTGCTAATTTTAGCCATCGCTTAC